GGGAGGCCGCGTCTCAGTCTCCTTGATCTCTAAGGATTCCAGAACTCGAGTCTGGTTGTTGAATGACTGCCTGACCAGAACTTGATACTACGCGATGTGAGTGAAATGAAACTCACTAAGATGTTGAGGACCGTTCATTCCCGGCACGTCAGGCGGCCAGCTCTGACAGACTCGCCTATCTGCTCTGCTCATAAATTTTCCCTTCATTGGGATTGTAGCTGTCTTTTAACTACTGACGAGGACTCAAAGAATGCTGCCGCGGAGTCGGCGTGCAGACCCAGCATCAACCGGACCGAAATATGCCTGCCTGCTGTTTGATAGAATGACAGCAAGCAATCCTGAGTTGATTGTCAGCACATTTTCTATTCTACTGTTTTACTGTTTCTTCCATTCTTTTTTTTTTTTTTTTTTTCTCTTTTGGGTTACAAGAGGGGTTTAAAGTTCAAATTACGTAAAAGAACTCCATGAAGTGGAGACTCCTACTAGATCATAAAGGAGAGAATCTCTTAACTGATTGAAAGAGTACGCTCAATCTTTTAAGTCATAATCTAGGGATAAATTAAGATTAGTCATAACATCTATGTTTGTATTTGCTTCCTAATAATGTATTTTATCACAACTATCCATGCATTGTTAAATAGAGGCTTAATCCTAGTTTGGACCAGGCCAAGAAGTAATTGTAGCACACTTTCTAACTAATAAATCAGCTAACTGATGATAATCTATCTTCAAAATCACCTATCTGCATTCAAGATTCTATGCCATCTTAAGGCCTTCCAAGCTCCCCAAGTTTCTACTCAATGCCGACGCCTCTCCTATTCTTCTAGAAAAACCTTGAACTCAATCTCCTTCATGATCTCTAATCAAAACCCCACACTCGCAAGCTTTCCTTCGGCTTTAGACACCCATCAGTGTTAAGCTTCACCCAACCCTGCTCCGGCACTGACCACTTGGCTACACTCCTAACCACAGGAACTTTACATGACAATAGGTTCTTGTCCAAACATTTGCTAGTTGTTATCCACCATTCAATAATCTTACAAAGGAAATGTCGATCTAGAAAAACTCTTATCAAACATAGTTCTGTTTCTCCAATTCCAAAGGCATCGGATGCAAATTGCCCGTGTTTCAAGCCAAGATACTTCTCAAGGTGCCAACAGATTATTAAGACACCACTCTTTTTCTGCAATCATAAAAAATTTGGATCCATGAATTGGTGGGACCAAAACCTCTAAATTTGGGCTGCAACAGAGCAATCTTTGAGCACATGTAAGATTGTCTCAAACTTATTTCTACAATCCTTGCATCTAGGATCGCATCTACTCCATCTAGATCTCTTGAGATTGGTTAGAAGTTTCCCATGCATGACTATCCATGTAAAAACTCTGATTCGTTTGGAACTTTGAGTTTTCAGATTTTGTTCCATCCACGAGCGCTCTTCGTTTGGCATTTACCTTGCTTACCACCTTGGGTTTTTACCTCGGCCAGCCCAAGTAAATGTTGGCCGTACTTTCTCGGCAGTTGCCACCTCAGACTGGCCTAGAAATTATTGCGTAATTCTAGGTGTGACATCCATGATGATTAGCGTGATGTTTATTGTTATTTGTTGGTTTATTTTTACACTTTGCATGCTAAAAAATAAGAAATTTGGGATACTTTGCACATCAAGATGATAAATTTTGTGCCTAGGACTTTAAAAATTATAAAAAATATATCTTATTTTTGATTGTATATTAAGATCAAATTTAGAAATTTATATAAATAAAAAGTAAAACAAGTTATAAGAGACTTAAACCAATCATTTTTTTGTTATTTTTATTCTATTTAATAAATTTGTACTTAATTTACATATTAATGGTTTGCAAAATATTAAAAAACTTTGATACTGTTCAAAATTTTAAAATTTTAAAACTAAAAATAAAGTTTTGGAAAAAATATAAAAAAATTGAGAGTTAAGTGTCTACATATTTTCTTTATACAAATGTTGTAAAGAAACTTAAAAAATATTTGGCATTCAAGTGCCTAGAAAAAATTTATTCTCCACTAAGAGATTATTATGATAAAATTAGAGAAAAAGAAAATATTAAGGTAGATAAATAAGGGATTATACATAATTATGATAAAATTAAAAGAGAAAAGAGATAATTTAATAAAATTAGAGAGAGAATAAAATTTAAACAAAAATAATTATTAATAGAATAATTTGAATTTCAATATTTTTGTTTCTAGGGATGGGTTTTTGTTTTCTTTGCCCATTGGTGTCATTAGCTAAAAATAGAAATATATATAAAATTTCTACGTATTATGTTTTAATTTTTTATATCAAAATTTTATTTTTAATTTTAAAATTTTAAAATTTTAAATAATAACAAAATTTTTAATTTTTTACAAGCCATTAATATTTGTATAAATTAAGTAAAAGTTTATTAAAATATGGTAAAAATAACAAAATATAAAAGGGTTTAAGTCTTTTTGGTCATTTTACTCTCTATTTATATGAAATTCTAAATTTATTTTTAATTTCAATAAACAATAAAAAATAAGATGTACTTTTTATAATTTTAGTATATTAAATACTAAAATTATAATATTTTAAAATATAAAATATTAAAAATCTTTACTTTCAGAGTGAAAAAGTGCCAAAAAAAAAAAAAAGTCTTATTTGTTTGGATGTTTCACCGTATTTTATCTTGGATTGGAAAGCCAAATGTCCCCCGCTGAACCCAACTTTCTTTTACTAGCCTGAGCCAATGTATTTAACAAGTACTGTACAAAATTCTTGAGCCAAAATTTTACTTTACAAATCCTGTGTTTTTGTTATATTTAAGGAAAGTTACCAATTAAGATGGCTTTGTATTTTAGTTAATTTTAATTATTTAAATGGTCAAAATATATAATATTTCTATTCAAGATTATTACTATGAATGTTACAAGTATAAATTTTTTTAATTTATAAGTATAAATTTGTATAATTATTAGTAAGTATTTATATAACTAAAAACTCTAAATAACTATTATAGAATGTATTATATAAATTTATACTTATAATAACACATATCTATTCTTGTAATGACACAAATTCATATTTGTGATGATAGAGATACTTTTAAAAATATAAAAATACTTGACTGATATTTTTTTTTCTTTTTTATCTGAATGAAAATATTTTTCATTTAACTATTCAAGTTTTTAATTTTGCCAAACTATCTAACTTGGTGATTTTTCTACGTGTGCTATAGCTTGACTTTTTTAGAACTAATTACTATTTATTTAACTTTTAAAATCAAAAATTCACAAATCAAATATTGTAACTTGTGTTTCTTGTGTTTAAAACAATATTAAGTTGAGAAATTATAATATTCTAAATTTTAAACTATTTAAACTCTACCCTTTAGCCCAAAAGCAAGAAAACACAAGTACAAATTGGAAATTTGAGTTCAAGAACATGTTGTATTTGGTAATTATCTTTCGTTGTTCATTTAAAGCCAAATTTTTAGGATTAACAGTCATAAATTTTAATCAACGATTAGATGCTCTTCCTAATTCTGGCCAAGTCAATGTGACTGTTAGGCGACAATCACCCCAGACTCTGGCTGGTCTACATTGACCTCTTCCTCCACTAGTACAACCAAAGAGGAGAAGAAGGTAAAATGAGATCAAAGATTGAAAAGGAAAGAGAGATTGTGCATGTATTGGATTGGCAGAGTCGACATCAGCGAGTTAACATCATAGCTTTCGTACATTTTTTGCATTGCACCGGAGGACCAAGCTTTATATTTTCCTTGTTTCAACATGTGAATAAACTGAAGATACAACTGACAAGTGGACTCAACAATATGAAAAGATTGCAGGTAACAAGCACATTCATTTACATCATTCATTAGCTTAGAGTAAGGAGTGATGATAGAGAAATTTTATTACGAAAATTGAGAAGAATTATCACGAGTGATCTTTCAAAAATTATTGCATATACTTGTACTTGAGATATCTTAAAAGTATAAATATTTAAAATAAAAAAAATTAACGCGTGCTAGTTGTTCAGATCTCTGCATCCAAACAATTGAAGGTACTAGTAAAAAAATGTCTTCCTCTTGCCTCTATTTTACAACAATCCGAGAAATTGGTGAATGAAATTATCTGATCTATGTTTACTTTATTACACTTTATCTAGAGATATAGAGAGATATAGATGTTTAGCATTAAAATTTTGGTGTGAAAAAATGTATTTGTGATTGACATTTTATTTAAGGCAGAAGTCCCTCTTTCAAAACACTAAAGTTTTGGATCATGGTTTGCCTTTTTGCAAAAGCCTTAGAAGAATATGGGTAAAACCAAACACTGCCCAACTTATAACTTGTTGATACAAGGCTCGCCCTTTGCAAAAACCTACTCTACAAGACATTGAAATGGACATATTTAGGAATGAGTCTCGGGTGATTATCCCTTGCTTAGAAAATTGATGGTGGGCCTTTGGTTATCAAGGAAGGAACGGCATTTCGGCAACAAAAAAGGCAGATGCTTTGAGCCTTGTCACTTCTTGTTGTTAATATATACGACTGAAACAATGCTACAAAGCAACCTTTTTGCCGTACAAAAATTCCATCGAACAAATACATCCAAAATACTCAAGTTCAAGCCTGGTCCATTCCATATACAAATCATCGACCCAATCACAAGAACTCTTCAAAGATTCTTAGCAAGGTATCATAAGAAAAACTAAACAAATACGATCGCACTCACAGATACCAGTTGGGATTAGTGAGAAAGCGTCACGCCTCGAGTGATCAAAGAAAACAAACAACGCCGGTAATTCTATATTCCGCTCATAGAAGTAAACGAAAATGACAAGATAAGCAATAGAGGCTTGCACAGGATCTGTCTATAGCATAAGATCAACACCTGTATTAAAAGCCAGGCGAGACTTGGACTAGCAAGCGCCACTAACTTTACTTGTATATATCTCCAAACAGGTGTCTTTCCTCTTGAAGGGAGAAGTAAACATGGGGAAAAAGGGTGGCATGTTTCGTTATGCAGACCGCGTGGACAAGGTGCTTATGCTGATAGGGTCTTTAGGCAGCATCGGAGATGGGCTGCAGATCCCTCTCATGATGTTCGTTCTAAGCGATGTGATCAATGTCTATGCGGACCCAAATGAAAAAATCTCAAACAGTATTGTGAACAAGGCAAGGAATCTGCATTTCTCCGATGTTCCATTAACTGGTTTGCTCTTGGTTTTCTTTATTCTGCCATTAATTCATTGAAGAATCTGCACGTCTCCTACATTCATGATCTGGGTGTTCTTTTTTTTTTTTTTTTCCCTCGTCCTACCACTAATTAACAATTGATTGATGTATTCACGTGATGTGATGCAGTATGCCCTCAGGCTTTTCCTTGTTGCCATTGGGGTTGGATAGCTGCTTTTGTTGGTATGTTTGACCATTTCTTCCTCTCTTAATTGTACCTCTTCCATTGTCCGTTTTTATTGGGAAACTATATTGAAAATGCTATATACATGGAATATTCGTACAACATTTGTACACCGAAGATGCACCTTGCTTTTGCCTGTTGGGTCTGAGAAAAGCTCGGCCATTGCTGGCTTATGTTTGGGCTTTTCCATAATCCAGCAATTAAAAGCTTTAATCTAGTACTTCCTAACTTGTGATAAAGCTGTGGGAAAAATCTTAGTTACAATTTGAAACCAACCAAGCAGAGTCGTGAGGCTTCATAAAACATAAAAAATCTGTGTTCTATAACAGTGCTCCCGGCAGCAATTTGTCTGTTGGATTTATATTTTGTTGTAGTTTTCCAAAGAAAGAAAACACCAACAACGGTACAAGCTCTATTGTTTTCATATCGTTTTGATTTTCTAGTGTAGTGTCGGAGAATCTGAAAACAACATTTTGTTCTCTGAAAATAAGCCCGTTTTCCAAAATTCTTCAAAAGAAGTTTTTGAAAACAAAACCACCCAACGGGTTTTTTTTTCCAAAACAGAAAAAGAAAGTTTTCAGAAACAAATGCAAAACGGTTCTGTTTCATAGAACTTGACATTCTTATCTTGATTGTAGAGGGACTTTGCTGGGCAAGAACTGCAGAGAGGCAGACTTCGCGGATGAGACTACAGTACTGAAATCTGTCCTCAGACAAGAAGTTGGCTTCTTCGACACCCAAGCGGCCGATTCTTCCACAACTTACCAAGTTGTTTCCACCATCTCTGCAGATTCCAATTCAATCCAAATTGCTATAGGCGAAAAGGTTTCTTTACACTAGTTTACACGCCATATATTCTTCGTCTTCTTCTTCTTCTTCATTAATATATAACTGAATGCTGTTTGTTTTGTTCCTTGTAGATACCGGACTGTAGCTTACCTGGGATCCTTCTGCTTCTGCTTGATATTCGGGTTTGTCCTCTCATGGAAGCTCACAATTGGCCGCCATTCCATTCACTTTAATGTTCATCATCCTGGACTTGGATTTGGGACTGTCATGATGAACGTGGGCGTGAAGATGATTGAAACTTATGGGGTTGCAGGTGGGATTGCAGAACAGGCAATTTCTTCGATAAGAACTGTGTATTCCTATGTCGGAGAGCTTCAAACAGTCAAAAGGTTCAGCCAAGCACTTCAAGAAACAATGGAGCTAGGAATAAAGATGGGCCTTGCTAAGGATTGATGATGGGAAGCATGGGGGTTATATAGTTAGCTGGGGGTTTCAAGCTTGGATTGGATCAATTTTGTGAGCAAGCAAGGGAGAAGGGTGGTGATATCTTCGTTGCTGGATTCAATGTTCTCATGGGAGGATTGTGAGTTTTAATTCTGTTTGGAATTGTATTATGTTTTCTGTTTTCATTTTTCTTTCTCTGCAAACAGATTAGTGAAAACTCTATTGTTTTCATTTCTTAGCAAAAACAGTTTGTGAAAATTCCAGATATAAATTCTGTTGTTTTCTAGAAGGGAAGCTGTTTTCTGAAAATTTCTCTCAAAAACAGGTTTTAAAAACAACCTGTCAAGGTGGTCTTTTATTTATAGAAACAGAAAACAATTTTCAAAACCAAATCCAAAAATAATTTTTCTTTCACTTTCTGTTTAAAACTGCTAGAGGTAATGACAATTGACAGATTCTTCAATGACCTGCAGGAACATTTTGACTGCTCTCCCAAATCTCACAGCCATAGCAGAGGCCAAAGCTGCAGCTACCCGGATCACTGAGATGATTGATCGGGAACCAGCCATAGACTCCGAGGATAAAAAGGGAAAGGCTTTATCGTACGTGAGAGGAGAATAGAATTCAAAGGTGTTCATTTCAATTACCCATCAAGGCCCGACACTCCAATACTGCAAGGTTTGGATCTAAGAGTTCCAGCAGGCAAAACAATAGGCCTGGTTGGGGGTAGTGGTTCTGGAAAGTCCACCATTATTTCACTGCTTGAGAGGTTTATGACCCTATCGAGGCGAAATCCTGCTGGATGGGTACAAGATAAAGAGACTTCATCTCAAATGGTTAAGATCACAAATGGGTCTGGTTAATCAGGAGCCAGTCCTCTTTGCGACAACCATAAAAGAGAATATTTTGTTTGGGAAGGAAGGGGCTTCAATGGATGATGTAGAGATTGCAGCAAAAGCAGCAAATGCTCATGAGTTCATTTCTAAGTTGCCGGAAGGATATGAAACTCAAGTAAGACTAGTAGTCCTATTCCTCCTGTAAACTCACTGACTAGGAATATATTTTGGATATGTTTTAAAAAAGCTGTTGTCTTCTGTTGAGAAAAGAAAATCCCATTAGGCAGGTTGTTTCTAAAAACTGTCTTAAATAAAATTAGATAACGGGAACTTTTACAGAAAACAATAAAAAAATTCTTTTCAGAAATTTCAAAATGATATAAAATTAGAAGACTTTTTCAAGATTTTCAGTGCTTTTATTTTAGAACACAAAATGAAAACCGAAAACAGAAAACATATCCAGAAAATCCATTGATGTTGAAAGTATTTACTCAACTAATCTATATATCCTTGTCAACTTTCAGGTTGGTTCAATTTGGAGTACAATTGTCCGGAGGGCAGAAGCAACGTATAGCCATAGCCAGGGCTTTGATCAAGAATCCAAAAATCCTACTCCTTGATGAAGCCACAAGTGCACTGGATGCACAATCAGAAAGAACCGTGCAGGAAGCCTTGGACCTTGCTTCAATGGGGAGGACAACCATCGTCATTGCACACCGTCTTCCACCTCAGAATGGCCAATCAAATCGTGGTCCTCCAATCGGGAAAGGTAGTTGAATCAGGCACTCACCATGAGCTGATGCAAATGAACAATAGGCAGGAGGAGAATACTTTAAAATGGTGAAGTTGCAACAATCATCAATTGAAGACAAAACCCCAGTCACCCCCAGTCAGGAGGAAGATACTAGTACCATAAGTGAATGCTCCACCATCAAGCCCAGTGAGGTCTACTGATTTAAGGATCGCCACAAAATGATAGTTCCAGCAAGCCCTTTAAGCATAAGATCAAGCCCGGCTGCTAGCCCAGTTGTGCAGCCCTTCAGCCCTGCACTTTCCATCAGTGCACTTATTCTGTCCAATTTGAAGCATCTTTTGAGAGTGATTATGATTTAGATTATGATGAATGCCGTTCCTAGCCCTTCCCAATGGCGGTTGCTGAAAATGAACGCACCGGAGTGGGGTAGAGCCTTGCTTGGGTGCATAGGGGCAGTTGGATCGGGAGCTGTACAGCCCATAAATGCCTACTGTGTGAGCACTTATATCAGTCTACTTCCACACTGATAAGTCCACAATCAGGTCCCACGCCAGAGTCTATTCCTTGTTTTTCTTAGGCCTTGGGGTTTTCAGCTTCATCACCAGCGTCCTCCAACATTACAATTTCGCAGTCATGGGAGAAAGTTAACCAGAAGGATACGTGAGAAGCTGCTTGAGAAGGTGATGACTTTCGAGATAGGGTGGTTTGACCAGGATGAGAATACTAGTGCAGCCATATGTGCAAGGCTGTCCACGCAAGCCAACATGGTTCGGTCCCTTGTTGGTGACCGTATGTCACTGCTGGCTCATGCTTCTTTGGAGCAACTTTTGCTTATGGACTTGGGCTTGTGCTCACATGGAGCTGACCCTTGTGATGATTGCAGCACAGCCATTGCTTATCGGAAGCTTTTATTCTAGGAGTGTCTTGGTGAAGAGCATGTCTGAAAAAACTCGAAAGCACAGAGGGAAGGGAGCCAACTAGCGAGTGAAGCTGTTATTAACCATAGAACCATAACTGCTTTCTCTGCCCAGAAGAGAATATTGGGACTTTTTCGAGAGAGCTTGGAAGGCCCTAAGAAGGAGAGCATTAAGCAGTCCTACTTTACCGGTATTGCCTATTTAGCTCCCAATTCTTGGCTGCAGCTTCTACAGCTTTGGCTTACTGGTATGGAGGGAAACTACTAGTGCAAGGGCTAATAGCCCCCGAACGCCTATTTCAGGCATTCTTAGTCTGCTATTCACTGTTACACCATTGCAGAGGGCAGGTAGCATGACCTAAAGATCTATCTCGAGGAAGCAATGCTGTGAGGTCAGTTTTTGCAACCCTGGATAGGCAAAGTGAGATTAACCCAAATAGCTCATCCGCAATTGATGCTGAAAAAATATCAGTTAGAGGCCGTGTAGAGCTGAAAAATATATTCTTTGCATATCCTTCAAGGCCTGAACAGTTGATCTTTAAGGGTTTAAGCCTCAGAGTTGCAGCAGGAAACAACGTGGCAGTGGTGGGGCAGAGTGGTTCTGGCAAATCCACCATAATTGGACTCATTGAAAGGTTTTATGATCCATTAAAGGGATCTGTCCACATCGATGAACGAGACACAAAAGACTATAATCTGAGGGGCCTCAGATCGCACATAGCATTGGTCAGCCAGGAGCCAACCCTTTTTGGAGGAACTATCAGAGATAACATTACCTATGGCAAGATTAATGCCAAGGAATCAGAGATAAAGATAGCAGCGATGCTTGCCAATGCTCATGAATTCATAAGGTACATAAAAGTTAAAAACTTTATCTTATAAAGATTAACCTTTTAAATAGGTCCAAGATTAATTAGCAAGCAATTAGCCAGGTTGGTTGAGTCACTTCAATCCCCAGTTTCGTAACCTAGATTCAAACCCTCTCTAGATAAATTTCCTAACTGTTGATTTAAATGCGTTTTGTAGGTCTACTAACTAGTTTCTTGTTCATTTCAGCGGCATGAAAGATGGCTATGACACCTACTGTGGGGGAGAGAGGGATGCAGCTGTCAGGAGGCCAGAACAAAGAATAGCACTAGCTCGTGCAATACTGAAGAAAACCCATCAATCCTACTGCTAGACGAGGCAACTAGTGCCCTAGACAGCGTATCAGAGAGCTTGTTCAAGAAAGCACTCGAGAAGATGATGGTCGGGAGGACCTGCATAGTGGTGGGTCATCGGCTATCCACCATACGGAAGTTCCATTCCATTGCAGTGATCAAGGGTGGAAAAGTTGCAGAACAGGGCACCCACTCGGACCTTAGATTGCTCTGGGACGCGGCGGAGCATACTACTCCCTTGTAGTAGAATTGCAAAGCAGCAGCTCTCTCCTAATCGATGATTAAAGCCATCATGTTCAAGATAATGACTGATGTTTCATATAATATCCTCACAGAAGGAGACGGCCCCTCCAAGTTTTGTAAATGAAAGAAGGAAGCTGGATTTCATATGGAAATATGAATCGAGAGGCCATGCCGTGGGGAATGGAGATCCCACCTGGGGTGTTTGCAAAAGCTTTTTGAAAAATTAGAGGAAATGTGGCCGGCAAAATTGCGTAAAATTTTAATTAAATAAAAAGCAGAGAATTTATAGAATGTATAAAAAAATTTTAAAATTAATAAAAATAATGTTTAAGAGATAAGTTTTAGAAAATGACAGTGAAAAACTTTTTGAAAAAAAAAAAGAGATTTTTTTTATTTTATATATTTTTATTTGATTTTTTTTTTCTTATGTGAGTGCGATGATCTATAATGTCATTGCGTGTAACATTTAGTGACAGTGCATACAAGTATAATTGTATGATTGTCGCATGCAGTGGTGTTTACATCACTGTTACATGTAACATTTCATTTTTTTTTATTTCTCCTATGTAGTGACACCATCGCCGCTGCATGCAGTAACTTTGTTGTTATTGCTGGATGTAGTGTTTAATGGAACTGCATATAGTAACAATTGCCACAGCATAGCAATGATTCACATCGTCATTATGTGTTAGTGGTTTTATTTTTTTCTTTTTATTTTGCTTCACATAGTGACGCCACCATCACTGTTGCGTGCGACGATTGCTTGCAAACTATCAAGCTTGGTCACTTAGCCAGTGTTTTGTTGGTGTTTGTTTGAAGTTAGTGGAGAGGAGAAGAAGCAAACGATCGAGAGAAAATAAAGGAGGAGCAGACTAGACTAGGGCTGCGAAATCTTAAAATTATTAAAAAATTTGGTAGACAAATTTTTAAATTACTTATAAAATAATTTTTTATTTATTTACAAAACTGTCGCCCAAAGTCAAAATTAAACTCCTAGTTTCTTTAAATTGATTTTTTTCTTTAAATTTTTTAATTTTAAAAAGCAAAATTTTAAATTAGAAGCAGACATGCAAATACCCAAAATCACTTATTTTAGCTTGAACTTTCCAACAAAGCTTATGAAAAACTCTGCCAAACGTCCCCTAGTATTAGATGAAGTGCTCTACTCTTAGTAATTGTATGGTTTTGACACGAAGAGCTCTCCTTTATGTGCTATTTAGCTTATCACATGAGTTTCGAGCATGTAAGCTTGGATTTTGGACAAACTGGGAAGGGAAGGTGACTCCAGATGACCAATTTTTAGAGCAAGGACACAAGGTAGCCCTAGTTTGAAGCCCTGGTTAAAACCTACCTTGTATGTTGAAAGCTCAAGCAATTGTATCCCTTGGTTGTTTTATTTTCTTGCCTCTCATGTGAATAAGCTAACTTAACAATTCAACGTACCCAGTTCGACACTCAACCAAAGTTTCTCATACCTATACATTATCACATATAATCTGAGGCCCTGTTTGAATAAGCCTTTCTTAAACCAAAAAAGCATTTCGTTTATAATAAAAAGTGCTTCTAATCAAATAAAAATTCTGTTTTTGTAAGATTTTCAAAAGAATCAGAAAATAACTTTTGGGATTCTAGGAGAAGCAGATTGGAGCAGCTTTTCCCCTCCCAGTATCGCCAAAAGAGAGAGAATTACTGGGATATACACAACACGCGCGTGTATATACATATATAATTGGGACATGATTTAAATAAAAATGGAATAGACAAAATTTAAGTTTCTACTTGGGAAAAATTTGAATCTCTTTCTTCCAATTATAACAAAGCATCGATAAATATTGATCAGAAATTATAAAAATGATGGCAGGCCAGTGCAATGGCCACCAGAAAAATAAATAAAAAATCAGAATTTCTTAAAATACAATAATTAGAAAAAGAGGGCTGCAAGTTTAACCAATAAAACACCAAACAGATCAAAAAGTGAACACATTACCAGGGGCCCCACCCGCGCACGATAGCGCTGGAGCTCTGGTGCGCCGGACTTGAGCTGATCCCCTTCTTCTTGACCTTCTCACCAGAGCCGTCGACTTCCACTTCACCACTCACCCTAAGCCCATGCTTTTTGGTCTTCCAAAGCAAGATCTTGAACCGGATCGTAGTTGCCAAATCCACCCGAAAAAACGGCCCTAGACCCGTTCGAGACGTTCTGGAGCGCTGCCGCCCACGGCAGCGCGTGGGTGTCCACCAGCTGCCGCCGGCGAGCACTATGGTCATGCCCTGGTAGAAGCCGGGAAACGTCTGGTT